TCTGAGGACGCCTATTGATTTTAAGTATTGACTGAAATATTCTTAGACTAATGTTAATTGGTTATCAATAGATTGATAAAAAGAGTGAATCTGTAAGAGAATATTTTCATCTGATCTGTTTATAGAGTCTTTTATGGTTCCTTAGAGTCTGTGATACTGCAAACATCTGCTTGTAGTCAGTCAGAGACTTCTCTGTAGGTTGAGGTCACAGGTCAAACGCTTCTCCTATGTCCGAGGGTTGACCTGGCAGCATCTCTTTGAGACAAGCAGACCATTGTCTCGCATCGGCTATTGATTATACGCGGGCTTTCTGGAAGCCCGCCTCTCCTCGTGTTGGTTAGATGTTTTGTGTTTTTTGGTTCAGAGATTACCTTGGTGGAGCACAAGGACAGTGTGAAACTAGGATGATCTCCCGGCCGTATGTAATTGTCTGTCTCTCAATAAATATCAGTGTATTGACAGGTGAATCCAGTTTCCCTCATTTGATGATGCGCTCAACATTGCTGCAAAGAAGTTTTTACTTCACACTCCCTACATGGTGTACTTTGAGGGGTTTGACTCTGCACACCGTTTACATGCATAAAAACCTTCATAACACACAAGGGGATGGGTAATAACCGGAAAAGCATGACATGTCACCTTTAACATATAAGGTAACATAAGAAATTGCCACTACATTCCGCCCTTTTGATCATACTTGAACAATCATGAAAATAAAACAAATGAGAGGATAGACTGATATAACACATCAATTAATACACTCCATCGCTGGTTTAAGTAAACACATCATAAACATATCATGGAAAGTGGCTGTTTTTGTGGAGGACAGACTCCGTATGTGGAAAGCAAAAGAATACTGAAACGAGGGAATGGCAGTCTTTACACACAATTTTACAGTTCGGTGTCCGACTCTTCAGTGTCGGAATCAGTGGGGGCTGAATCTGGGTTGGCTGTAACATTGTCAGTGGTTTGAGGGAGAGCGGTGTATTGTACAAATGCAGAGGAGATCATACTAGAAAAACATTTCTTCATGAGGGGAACTACACAGCATGTACAGCAGAAGAGCAAGGCTATGATGGTGAGGAGTGGCGTGACTATTCTGGCCAGTCAGCCTTCCCACTCTCCCGATGTGAGCCAGGACCACCAGTCCCAGCCTACAGGGTCGTAGTCCACGCCGTCAGCCTTCATGTCTGCCAGAAGTGCGTTATGGTGTTTTATGGTGCGAGTCATGTTCTCTGATATGTCTGGAATGTATGTGCAACAAGAGTCTCCGATAAAGTGACATAGGCCCCCCCTTGAGGCAAACAGGATGTCTAGAGCAAATTGATGTTGCATTAGCATGTTTCTAGTCCAGGTGGGCATTAGCTAATTCTTATCCGAGGGGCTCCATCTTCAATCACTCGCCAGTGATCAGGCACAAAGTTTATGTTCTTGGTGTCGTCGTCTCCTTAGTGGATGTTAGTTTGACTGAGCCCGTGCCTTCATGACCATATCAATTCAACCCCACACCATGACGGCACAGGCAATGAACCAGAGGCATATGAATTTTGCTAGCTTGTTTTTGATTGCACCATTCTCTCTTTCCACCGCACCATCACTCTGTGGATGGTAAGCACAATGCTTTCTGATGTCCATGCCAAGGTATTCTCCTATCTATGCAATGGCCTTATTAGCAAAATGTGAACCATTGTCGCTGGAGATCTTGCTTGGTATCCCCCATCTAGGAATAATTTCCCTTAGTAAAGCTTTAGCCACAGCATTTGCTGTTTGTGCGTTTACCGGAGATGCTTCAACCCATTTGGACCACATGTCAAATGATTACAAGACAGTGTTTCTTACCCTCAATGGACTAAGTTCTATTAATGGCCTCTAACATCCCTCCTTTTGACACATGGTCTAACCCATGTGTCAATTTAGCACATTTCCTAATGAGACAGGGTCAGTGTTGCTGGTCTGTGCAGAGCATTTACATACTGCAACTTCAGACGGGAGCAGAATGGCATCCAATAAGCCTGCAACTAGGACATGGTTAAGTACTGGCTTTCCGTCAGATTTTAAAAATTGTCTACACTTCCAAATAGCGCCAAAATAATGTACTACTCCAAAAGCATAACGTGACTCAGTGTAGATAGTTACAGATTTGCCTTTTGCAAAAGTGCAGGCCTCAGTGAGTGCTACGAGCTCTGCTGCTTGTGCTGAGAGGTGGCATGGGAGCGGTCCGGAACAGAGAACAGCAGAATCTGAAACAACAGAGAAACCCACCCGATTAGTGCCCACAGGGTCGCGAGAGGCGGACCCATCAACATACAAAATGAGGTCAGGGTTGGTCAGGGGTACATCTTTTAAGTCAGGTCTGGGAGTACATACAATAAGAAGCTCAGCAACACAGTCGTGTTCGTCACCGTCTTCTGGGAGAGGCATAAGAGATGCTGGGTTCAGAGTGGTACATCTTTGACTTCTACATTAGGCATGTCTAGCAGGCATGTGTGATACCTAAGATAACGTGCAGCAGAGAGGTGTGATGTTCTATGTTCACAGAGGATGAGAGAAACAGCATGTGGAACCAACAGTGTTAAAGGTGCATAACCTACAATGTCACGTGAGGAGTTGAGAGCTTTTTCAGCTGCAGCAACTGCACGGAGACATTTTGGCAGGCCAGCAGCTACAGGATCTAGCTTGGAGGAGAAATAGGCAACAGGCCTCTGTTTTCCCCCATGATCTTGAAGGAGAACTGAGGTCATACACCCATCGCGTTCATCCACTGCCTGTGTAAAAGGCTTGGTAGGATCAGGTAGACCTAGCGTCGGAGGGGATTGGAGAGCCAGCTTTATGTTAATGAAGGCTTTGTCGGCTTCCGGCGTCCATATAAGGTGATCTGCAGGTTTCAAACCGGTGACATGAGTGATTGTGCGGAGTGGTTGTTCGAGCGGAGAATAGTTAGGAATGAATGACCTGTAGTACGAACACCTACCCAAAAATGACATCATCTGTCGCTTAGTGACAAGTTTTGGCAGAGCAGCCAATGATGCAATACGCTTATCTGAAAGCGTTTTTCCCTCTCCTGAAATGATGTGACCCAGAAATGTAACTGTCTTTTGCACATATTGAAAGTATATAAGCATAACTGAGATAAGGTTTGTGAGATTTCCAATGAATCTTTAATGTGCAAAGATGTTTCATTTCCCTCCAGTGACGACTCCTCTGCACTCAAGTTCAAGTGAAGTGCACATACAATACGTCTTTATTTATTTCCCGTATCATATTGACACAACACGTTTTTATCATTTTTTTCTCCACCTACTGCAGCAGCACAGCTGTAAAAGATTCTCGCTGTCTTCCTCTGTTAGGAGAACCTGTTTGTAAAATGGACAAAGATACTCTTCTATCCTGAGGGATGTTGCTAATTTTGGAGCGTTGCAGGCAAAAGAAAACAAGCCGTCTCCTACATGAAAGGCTTCATGAATATTTATAAGTGATGATCACAGTGGACTATTATAATCATTACACCTCTCTTCATGAGAGAAATGTAGAGCCTGCACACTTGCAGAGTTCCAAATGAGAGATGTCTTAAACCTCAGCCTTGATGCGCTGCTTCATTTATTTAGGTAAATAAGCAGAAAAAGGATTATTTTCAGACTCCATGAATAACTGTGAAGATGCCTGCCATTTTGCAGCATATTTCATCATCATCTGTGTGACGTTTGAATTAACATTTGGAGAAATGCTCTGAGAGCAGTTTGCCACAAAAAATGTCGAGCTCTGTAAAATTGTTGAATTCATTGGTGACGGGAATTGATTACATTTTATTTTTAACATTGCTATTATTGAATCTGCTTATTTGTGGATTCCCTTATTGATTTCTGATCCATTTCCTGAATGGGGAAAAGGTGGGCCTACAAAGGCTTTGAGCGTCAGTGCAGCTGAGTCAAAACACATTTGAATGTTTTTAAAAATCTACTGTTTAACAATGAAATTACAGACATTATAAAACTAACACATGAAGCCAAGTTATAGACTGTTTCTACCTCTCTGCAATTACTCCTTGTAAGTTTCCAGTTTTACGCCTTGGCGTCTTGAGTTTTTGCGATAAGTGTGAGAAAATCATGCTGGTAATGATAAAACGAATTGACAACATCCAAGGCATAATTTCTCAATGTCATTTGGAATGGAAGGATTTTAAGTGTACCTCTATTTTTCCCCTTTATTACAGACCGAGTTGAACACTAAGAAGAATATAATGTTAGCTTTGATAAAGCCTTTTCCTTGCTTAGATAAACATTGTGATGTAATGAGTGTCCTGCTTTGCCAATTTAAGATGTTTTAAATCGGCCTTGGCCCTCAGTTCTGTTATTAATAGTTTTTTGACGCACTCTGAAAGAGAGCAGAAGGTAATATCTGTGTCTTCACTTTTCTGCTGTAGTTTCTACAGCACACGAACATCCCATACCCCTCAATTTAAAAACACTGTCGTTGATTTTGTGTGGGCCTTTCCTGACATCTAGTGGACAAGAGTGAATGTGTCATTTACTTTGAAATGTCTCTTTGGACAGTGTTGTGCATTGAGGTGTTTTATACACCAGTGTGATTCATTAAAACACCTGCTCTGGCTTTCACATGTCGCTCTTTCTGCCCACTTTAATCTCTAGTTTCCAAGTAGAAGTTTGCCTACAAAAACAAAAAAGAACAAAATCTGACCACAAGCGATCGCTGGTATGTCATGTTCCTTAAGGACAGAAATATATTTGCAACAGTTATGTCAATATTATCACTGTGTAATAATTTACAAACTCTTCACTGTGCTGGGAGATTCTGACTCCTGAAAATACACTTTCAAAATGTTTCCTAATTCCAGCTTGTTTGTTTAAAGAAAAGATCGCAGTATTTTCTGAAGGAGAAGCCTCCTTCTCAGACATTCTTTTAACAATAAATACTTCAGGTCTTACAACTTGTCTTAGATAATTATCCAGTGTATTACCTATTTGTTTCTGTTCAAGCATGAGGTTCAAGAAAATCACACCAAAGGGTCCTCAGCAGATGGAGTTGCTCGGTTGTCATGGAGCTGTAGATGTTTAAATAAAACAAACACTTGTTGTCCTTCGTGAATGTAAAGCTCCAAACCAGCTATTGAATGGACCATGTGGTGAGATTGCATTATGTTTCCAAGTTCACAGATTAACTCGTTTTTTATATATTACACTGTATATTAATTATTTGTTTCTTTTTTACCAATGCCTAAATTACTGACTGGGTTCTGATTCAGCTCCACACAGGAAGAACACAGCTCAGGAAACACCAACAAACAAAGTCAAATGGACAGTGAGTATATATTATGCAAATATTCACTAGACTTACTGACGTTAAGGTGATCCACATATGAACTTGTATTGTTTATTTAAAGTATAGGGACATTATGTATAGGGACAAAACCATAGAGGACAAAACACCTCCTGACCTCGTCCAGTTCAATCTGGTTACCATGAACTTTGGATGTGGTGACGTTGGAACTGTGCAAAAAGTCAAACCCACACATCAAGTCATCCAACAACGCGTTACTGATCAAGAGCCAAAAGCCTTTTCTCTCACTCTTAAATACAATATTTCTGCTTTTCTTCAGGAGTTTGAATATTATGTTGAATGTACATACACTAACATTAAAATGTATTGCTACATTTATATTCTGTTCAACTTACTTCATAGCTGGTCAATTTGCTGATCTTTTTTTAATACATTTTTTTAAGAATGTAGGTTGTGCACCCATTTTCTGAAGGAGAAGCCTCCTTCTCAGACATTCTTTTAACAATAAATACTTCAGGTCTTACAACTTGTCTTAGATAATTATCCAGTGTATTACCTATTTGTTTCTGTTCAAGCATTAGGTTCAAGAAAATCACACCAAAGGGTCCTCAGCAGATGGAGTTGCTCGGTTGTCATGGAGCTGTAGATGTTTAAATAAAACAAACACTTGTTGTCCTTCGTGAATGTAAAGCTCCAAACCAGCTATTGAATGGACCATGTGGTGAGATTGCATTATGTTTCCAAGTTCACAGATTAACTCGTTTTTTATATATTACACTGTATATTAATTATTTGTTTCTTTTTTACCAATGCCTAAATTACTGACTGGGTTCTGATTCAGCTCCACACAGGAAGAACACAGCTCAGGAAACACCAACAAACAAAGTCAAATGGACAGTGAGTATATATTATGCAAATATTCACTACACTGTAAAAAAAAAAACCGGAAAAAAACTGTAAAAGTCTGGCAGCTGGTGCTTCCAAAAACTTACCATCAAATTACAGTGAAATACCCTAATTACAATAATGGGAAAAAAACGTAAATTCACAGTAAATATAATTAATTTCCTTTACAGAGAAACACTGTTATTTTACAGGTTTCTTAACTCAATTATTACGGTCAAACACCTTCAATAAAGTGACAGAACTTAAAGTTCAGCGGTGAAACACTGTTATTTTACAGGTTTTCCCTCAATTATTACAGTCAAACACCTTCAATAAAGTGACAGAACTTAAAGTTCAGCAGTGAAACACTGTTATTTTACAGGTTTTCCCTCAATTATTACGGTCAAACACCTTCAATAAAGTGACAGAACTTAAAGTTCAGCAGTGAAACACTGTTATTTTACAGGTTTTCCCTCAATTATTACGGTCAAACACCGTCAATAAAGTGACAGAACTTAAAGTTCAGCAGTGAAACACTGTTATTTTACAGGTTTTCCCTCAATTATTACAGTCAAACACCTTCAATAAAGTGACGCACCAAAAACTCAGCAGAGAAACACTGTTATTTCACAGAAGACCAAACGCCTTCAATAAAGTGTTAACACTTGCTCAAGGTTGTAAAATAAGTTTTATTTTGGAAGCAAGTGCTGTAAACAGCTAAAACAGATAAAATCATTTCAAACTTTAGCTTGCAGTGTTTGTTTAGATGTAATGTTTAAAGACAGTATGTAATGTTAAACCTATAGAAGTACAATTCACCGGACAACAATCCTCCAAATTGGCAGTAATCAGCTGGATCCTTGGTGCATCTGGGCTGGAACGAAAAACAGGAAAAAAGGACACTATGATTCACTGAAAAGTCCTTAAAAGTATGATGACCATTGCTTTAAACAAACTTAATTTAAATGGTCTGTACCGATATTTGCCACTATTACACATTTGGGAAATGTGAACGCAGAGTACTGTCAGCTTTGAGAGTGCTAGTTGTTAAATGTTTAGCAATAAAATACCCCATCAGAACAATTTGAATCACCAACAGAAGGAAGACATGGATTCACAACTCTGGACACCAAGCCCCCAGGACTTCTAAATGATATACTATATTCATACTGTGTGGTACGGTGGGTCAGGTACCCTGTTCCCAGGTGGGCTATCTCGCTGGGGCCTTTCTGTGTGGAGTTTGTTCTCCCCATGCTCACTTGGGTTTCCTCCTGCACCTGAGGTGTACCGGGCCCCCCACCACCCTGGCCGTTTACCACCAAGGAGTGGTTTTGGTGTAAAATGATTGCAATCAATTCAGAATCATGAAGAACCCCTGGTTTGACCCCTCACAAGCTACTTATCCCTTGTGCATTCGTTTCCTGTTAACTACCTGTGCCTTCTCGGTCAACATTGACCGTTCCCTTATAACTCATTGTAAATCCATAATAATACAGATATTATCATCTAATGTTGTGTTTCAGTGTTTTATCAACTAAAATTATTGTGAATAATTTCCAGTTCTGAACTTCCATTTGCTTGTCTGACAGAGGGTGCAGAGGGTGATCAATAAAACACTATTTTATTTTATTTTATTTTTAAATCTCAAAATGTTGCTGAGTGTTCAGATGCCATGTGTGAACAAAGTCAAGGAACCTTATGACAAACAGACAATTAACTACATTTTTTAGAGCGAGAAATTGTAAATCGGTCAGATTTAACCGCAAAGACAACAGGAGGGCGTTAAGGTAGAACTAAACATTTTCAGTTTTTCCCAGATAAGATTCTGCGTACCCCAACTTTTTTCCCCCAAAGTTAATGGCTAGTCGAAGTTCGAGTATTTATTTGACAGCACTAGTGTGTATGCGAGTTATACTCACATCACCTTTAAGGGATATGCCATCCTCCTTGAAGTGGGCAATTCGGCATAGATAATGCAGATGGCCTTGTAGTCAGCAGGGTCCCCCCTCTGGCTGCTGCCCTCTGGCAGAGGTGTTAACCGAGGCATAGATCACCACAGTATCATACGTCTGAGAACACAATAAAGCTTTAGACAGTGGATAGCATGGGGATGACATAAGGCGCGTTCACACCAAGTACTTTTTCCCATAATAGTTAATCAGAACTACGATATATTTGCATTCACACCAAAAAGCCCCCTGAACTAAATTAGTTAATCAGAATAATTTTTACCCCGTTTTCAGTCCCTGCTAGAGAGCAGAGACTTTCGTGGGAGAAAAAGGTTCATACGTCTGATTGGCTGTGCAGAATGCAAACCACGCCCCGTAAAACTCCAAAAAAGTTTTCTGAAGCCGCCATTGTTTTTCCTCACATTAACAGTATTAGCATTAGCCCCGCGCACCAACGGAGAGAGACTAACTTATGGCAACACAAAAATAACATGGGAGCAGTGGCGTGATGAGGAGGTGTCGGCGTTCTGGAGATTTACTCGGAAGGCTTCAGTAGAAGCTGCTGGGAGTCCCAGCAGCTTCAACTTCTCTGAAGAACCAGCACCTTACCGTGGTAGAGAGGTTTGTGTGACCTGATGAACCTGGGGGCTGTGTTGTCTGGAACCTTGTGTTCCTGGTAGGGTCTCCCATGGCAAATTGGTCTCAGGCAAGGGGCCAGACTAAGATTGGTTCAAAAGACCTCATGAAAGACGACACAAGAAGTGAGGATAGCCGAGGAAGCCCGGGAAGCCCGGGTCCCCTTCTGGAGCCAGACCCAGAAGGAGGACTCGTCGGCGAGCGTCTGGTGGCCGGGCTTGCCACGGAGCCCGGCCGGGCCCAGCCCGAAAAGGCAACGTGGGCAACACCTCCGCTTCACCGTCCCGCGGGCCCACCACCTACGGGAAACATCGATGGGGTCGGGTGCGCTGCCAGAAGGGTGGCAGTGAAAGCGGAGGGTCTCGACGGACCAGACCCGGGCGACAGAAGCTGGCTTTGGGGACGTGGAACGTCACCTCTCTGGGGGGGAAGGAGCCGGAGCTTGTGCGGGAGGTGGAGCATTACCAGTTGGATCTGATTGGGCTCACCTCTACGCACAGCGTCGGCTCTGGAACCTTACTTCTGGATAGGGGTTGGACTCTATTCTTCTCCGGAGTTGCTCAAGGTGTGAGGCGCCGGGCAGGTGTGGGGATACTCACAAGTCCCCGGTTAGGTGCTTCATTGTTGGAGTTTACCCCAGTGGACGAGAGGGTTGCCTCCCTACGCCTGCGGGTTATGGGGGGGGGAAACTCTGACTGTTGTGTGTGCTTATGCACCCAACAGCAGTTCAGAGTATACGGCCTTCTTGGAGACCCTGGAAAGAGTCCTGTATGGGGCTCCTGAAGGGGACTCTTTAATCTTGCTGGGAGACTTCAACGCACATGTGGGCAATGATGGAGACACTTGGAGGGGCGTGATTGGGAGGAACGGCCCCCCTGATCTGAACCGGAGTGGTGGTTTGTTACTGGACTTCTGTGCTAGTCATGGATTGGCCATAACAAACACCATGTTCGAACATAAGGATGCTCATAAGTGTACGTGGTACCAGAGCACCCTAGGCAGAAGGTCCATGTTCGATTTCGTTATCGTATCATCGGACCTGAGGCCGTATGTTTTGGACACTCGGGTAAAGAGAGGGGCGGAGTTGTCAACTGATCACCATCTGGTGGTGAGTTGGGTCGAGTGGCGGGGGAAGCCTCTGGATAGACCTGGTAAGCCCAAACGTGTAGTTCGGGTGAACTGGGAACGTCTGGAGGAGGCCCAAGTTCAGGAGGCCTTCAACTCACACCTCCGGCGGAGCTTTTCGGGCATTCCTGTGGAGGTTGGGGACATTGAACCAGAGTGGTCGGTGTTCAAAGCCTCTATTGCCGAAGCCGCGGCAGGGAGCTGTGGTCTCAAGGTCCTAGGTGCCTCAAGGGGAGGTAACCCTCGAACCTCCTGGTGGACACCGGTGGTCAGGGAAGCCGTCCGACTGAAGAAGGAGGCCTTCAGGGATTTGTTATCCCGGGGGACTCCCGAGGCAGTTGCAAGGTACCGACAGGCCCGAAGGGCAGCAGCCTCATCCGTGGCCGAGGCAAAGCAGCGGGTGTGGGAGAAGTTCGGAGAAGACATGGAGAAGGACTTTCGGGCGGCACCAAAGTTGTTCTGGAAAACTGTCCGACACCTCAGGAGGGGGAAACAGGGAACCATCCAAGCTGTGTACAGTAAGGATGGGACGTTGTTGACCTCAACTGATGGAGTGTTAGGGCGTTGGAAGGAACACTTTGAGGAACTCCTGAACCCGACAACTCCGCCCTCTATGTTAGAGGCAGAGCTGGAGTATGACGGGGGATCAACACCAATCTCCCGGGGGGAGGTCTCTGAGGTCGTCAAACAACTCCACAGTGGCAAAGCCCCGGGGGTGGATGAGATCCGCCCGGAAATGCTGAAGGCTCTGGGTGTTGAGGGACTGTCATGGTTGACACGTCTCATCAACGTTGCGTGGAAGTCGGAAACAGTACCGAAGGAGTGGCAGACCGGGGTGGTGGTTCCCCTTTTTAAAAAGGGGGATCAGAGGGTGTGTGCCAATTACAGAGGCATCACACTACTCAGCCTCCCCGGGAAAGTTTACTCTAAGGTACTCGAAAGGAGGGTCAGGCCGATTGTCGAACCTCAGATTGAGGAGGAACAATGCGGATTCCGTCCTGGTCGTGGAACGACGGATCAGCTTTTTACTCTCGCAAGGATCCTGGAGGGGGCCTGGGAGTACGCTTATCCGGTCTACATGTGTTTTGTGGACTTGGAGAAGGCGTATGACCGAGTTCCCAGGGAGTTACTATGGGAGGTGCTGCGGGAGTATGGGGTGAGGGGGTCTCTACTCAGGGCCATCCAATCTCTGTACTCCCAAAGCGAGAGCTGTGTCCGGGTCCTCGGCAGTAAGTCGGACCCATTTCCGGTGAGGGTTGGCCTCCGCCAGGGCTGCGCTTTGTCACCAATCCTGTTTGTAATATACATGGATCGGATTTCGAGGCGTAGTCATGGGGGAGGGGGTCTGCAGTTCGGTGGACTAAGGATTGCACCACTGCTTTTTGCAGATGATGTGGTTCTAATGGCTTCATCGGTCTGCGACCTTCAGCACTCACTGGATCGGTTCGCGACCGAGTGTGAAGCGGCTGGGATGAGGATCAGCACCTCCAAATCTGAGGCCATGGTTCTCAGCAGGAAACCGATGGACTGTCCACTTCAAGTAGGGAATGAGTCCTTACCCCAAGTGAAGGAGTTCAAGTATCTCGGGGTCTTGTTCTCGAGTGAGGGAACAATGAGATGGGTTTTCTCCGCAGGGTGGCTGGTGTCTCCCTTAGGGATAAGATGAGAAGTTCGGTCATCAGGGAAGGACTCGGAGTTGAGCCGCTCCTCCTTCGCGTCGAAAGGAGCCAGTTGAGGTGGTTCGGGCACCTAGTTAGGATGCCACCTGGGCGCCTCCCTAGGGAGGTGTTCCAGGCACGTCCAGCTGGGAAGAGACCAAGGGGTAGACCTAGGACCAGGTGGAGGGATTATATCTCTTCGCTGGCCTGGGAGCGCCTTGGGATCCCCCAGTCAGAGCTGGTTGATGTCGCCAGGGAAAAGAAAGTTTGGGGCTCTCTGCTGGAACTGCTACCGCGCGACCTGACCACGGATAAGCGGGAGAAGATGGATGGATGGATGGAAATGTGAAGTATGACATTGGAATGATTTGTAATAGATGTATTCACAACATATCTTTATATTCTAGCCCAGTCCCAGACTTACATCTCCGAGACCTGTGAACAATCTGAGTAAGTAACAATGAGTGCTCAACATTTTTAATATGTTTTTATCAAAGTTTTTGACAGCGAATATTTTTGTCCCAAATGACTAATTAGGGTAGTGCAATCGAATGATACCGGAGGGTTAAACACATTTTATATTATACCATATCATCATTGTGGTGAGAAATTGATATTAAGCATTAGGTCATGGTTTTCGAATAGTCATTACTTAATAACAATTCGACTGCGACTATCATCTTGTCTTAAAATGTATATTTTTACCGGTATGAAACATTGTGTAAAGATAAGTGCTAGCTAGCTACATCGCTACTCGGGAAATATCGTATGGTAATTAAGAGTTAAGACATTCGGAAATAACAATGATACCCTTGAAAAATTCGACTGCAAATAGTAGCTTCCCTATTGTGTTAATTAGCTCGCTGAAGCTGTATACTAAACATATCACACTTAAAATGGATAGACATTTGGACCATTTATCTATGGAAAAACAAATGTGAAAATACATCGCATAGCGAACACATGTTCAGGCTATTTAATTATGAAATGTGCTTTTATATGGGTATTGAATAGCTGACAGCTAACTGATAGCTAAGGTCAAGTTTCAGAGAGACGTACTAGTGCTAGCAGCGCCAGATCAGAATATTAGATATAGGGCTTTAAAGGAAAGGGTAGGTAAGTTTGAGAAACCAGCTCGAGATACACTGTTTGTTATATTCCATGGAATGCTCTTAATATCCTGATAGCAATGAATATTCTAAGTGCTTTGAAAAAAAATCCATAAAAAAATGTCATCTGTGGAAGCCGTAATACTGTAAAAACTACGACCAATTATTTTAGCCTGGCCGCCTAAAATAACTGGTTGGCCGACATGTCTGTCAGCCTTCCATCTCGTGCAGTCATTGCGCGTGCCGTCAATGGGCGTGTTTCCCGTCTCCGGGCAGTTGTTGCTCAATCGCCAGCAGCAGCCGGGGACACTTGTCCACCATGGCAGAGTTTGCTTCAACATCGTCTACCGGTCGCAAAAGAAAAACTAATGGAGCAAATTATGAAGAAAAAGAAAGTGGAAACTAGGAGAAGTCAAACCAGAGTCAATATCGGAGTTGCTTTTCAACGATGGCGACTACTTATGGAGCACACCGAGCTGATATGTAACGTTACCGCAGCCTGCGCTCGCCAGCTAGCCAGACGTAACATTTTTAATACATTTTCACAAAACAAACATGCTAGCTTCAAACATATAAGCACTGACAATAACTTTGTTATACATTTGTTTTACATTCATTATCATGATCTTGGGTGTTGTTTTCTTACATCTGATTGAGCCATGATGTTTTCAAATCTTCACTGAGGTCATGTGCGCGTTCATGTGTGTTGGAGGAGGTGCTCTGCAGGAAGTCTGAAGGAAGGGGAGGATTCTTTTCGGTTGTGTACTTTGGAATTTGTGTACACTCGAGCCGGTTCCTCAAACTGACCTACTCCTCCTTTAACTTTAAGTTACATTATTGCATCAACTAACAAACATGAAAGTTGCATCATGCACATGCCTGCTACACATGTGTTGTTGTCTCACTTACACTTTTTTTTCTCTCAACAGGTGTGGCTCAGCTTCGGTGGTTGCAACGTTGAGCTTACCTGCCGATTCAGGACAAGTTAGTCAACATACAGTACATGTGTTTGCTAGACCAATAGCCTTCTTGTTCTTCTATCCACACAAACACACAGAGATTCCTAGAATTGGTAGATAGAACAAGGGATTGACATTTCCCATTAAAAATAGATGTATCAGTGTCACAAGCTCATACTAAGATGACAGACACAATTGACAAGCTGGCAACATTCTTTGTTACCTAGAAACATACAGGGAATACTTTAGAGATGTCGGATTGAAAACTATTGTTCTGCAAAATGCCCGGTCCTTTTACATGTCGATCCTGTGGCCTGTCTTTGAAAACAGTTAAAAGTTATGTTGACCATCAGGTACTACATAGACATGAAGCAAATAAGCATTTTGCTTGTTGTTTTGCTGACTGCAAACATCAGTTTCTGAAGTTCAATGCTTTGAGAACACATGTTTACCGTAACCACAGGACCATCTCTGCTTCACAAAGAAATGATATGGGAGGTTCATTCAAATGTGAGACCTCAAGTTGTCAGAAGCGATGTACTGATCTCAATGATCTCATTGCCCATCTGAAATCGCATATATTGAAAAATGAGACAGTAAAATGTCCATATGCAAATTGTGACAACACTTATAAAGTGAAATCATCACTCACTGCCCATATCTCAAGGGTTCATAAGCCTAAAACACAGTTGTCTGTAAACCCTACACAAGTACAGTCTACTCAGGATGCTGCTGAGGTTGAAAGTGATTTTGATGTAAATCATGGAGCAAGTGGTTCTGATGACATGCCAGATGACACTGAAATGAGAACCCTGTATCAAAAAAATCTATGCCTGTTTTACATGCGTCTGCAGGCTAAATGCCTCATTCCATCATCAACTATACAGATTGTAGTTGAAGAAATGAACAGTTTGAATGACGTTTGTCATCAGTACACTAAGAAGGAATTCAAGGAGGTAATGGCAGCTAAAACAAACCTGTCTGAGACTGATATTGACAGTGTTTTGAGTTCTTTGGGGGGAGCAGAGTTGCATTCTTCTTGCAGCTCTCAGCTTTCCACTGAGTACAGAAGAAAGCAGTTCTTCAAGAAAAACTTTTCATATGTGCACCCACAGGCTATTTATCTTGGCACAGATGAGAATAGGAGGGAGTGCTATGCACAATACATCCCCCTTCAAGATACTTTACAAGCCTTGTTAAAAGACCCTGTTGTGTGGCAAGAGTGTGTGAAGCCACAAAATAATGCTGCTTCTACTAATGTGTTCACTGATGTTTGTGATGGATCTGTTTTCAAGTCCAATTACTTATTCATGGAACCAGGTATAAGCTTAAAGCTTATCTTGTACCAAGACGCGTTTGAGGTAGTGAACCCTCTTGGATCATCAAAGAGAAAGCACAAAATAGTTGGTGTTTACTTTACACTTGCCAACTTCGAGCCCATCTATCGTTCTAATGTTGACAACTTGCAGCTGTTGCTTCTGTGCCCTGAGAGATACTTTAAGTACTTTGCACATGACAAGTTGTTCGGACGGATGCTGTCAGATATAAGAGAACTTGAAAGAAATGGACTGGTCACTTCATCTGGCCAGGTGTTGCGGGCAACAGTCCTATGTATTCTGGGGGACAATTTGGGCTCTCACTGTATTGGTGGCTTTACTGAAAATGTCAGTACTGCTAGTCACTGTTGCAGGTATTGCTTAGTGCCTACAAATGAAATGGACAACGTGACAGTTGAGACCTACAAGGAGGCATTACAACAACTGCAGGACACCGAGGCAACACATGTGAAGGGACTCAAGTTTGACTCAGTTTTCAACTCTCTTGAGTATTTCCATGTATGCCAGCCCGGGCTCCCACCATGCATAGGCCACGACTTGTTTGAAGGCGTAGTTGCCTATGACCTTACCCTTTACTTGAGGTATTTTGTAAAGGTACAAAAATGGTTCACATACATACAGCTGAACAGACGAATCGCACAGTTCAAGTATGTGGGTTCTGATGCTGGTTCTGCTCCTTCTGAAGTAAATAGAAGTGGTATGAAGGTTGGTGGACAGGCAGCTGAGAATTGGTGTCTTTTGAGACTTCTACCTGTCATAATTGGTGATAAAATCCCAGATACTAAGGACCAGGTGTGGCAGCTACTGATCTTGCTGAAAGAGCTCTGTGAGTTGGTCTGTGCCCCTAAGATATCCGTCCCCCAAGTCTGTTTCCTCAACGTTCAGATTCAAGATTATCTTGAAACCAGAAAACAACTATTTCCCACAGAGAAACTCAAACCAAAACATCACTACCTCGTCCACTATCCCTCTTTGATCCTGAAACTTGGTCCACTCATACTGTTGTGGACAATGAGGTTTGAGAGCAAACACTCATACTTCAAAAGATGCATAAGGAGAACACAGAACTTCAAAAATGTGTGTAAGACACTTGCAGAAAACCATCAGCTTCTTCAGTCCTATCTGAGCTCCAGCTCCTTTTTTGCTGAAACTTTGTAAGTCAAAAACTCGTCTTCTTACCACGCTGAGTTGTACAGTGACAAAGTGTGTGATGCAGTTGAGGCAAGCTCACTCCCACATCCTGAGTTGGTGTCCACAGAAGTGCAGTGGAAGGGTACCCTGTATAGGAAGGGTTCCTTTCTTTGCATTAAGAATGAAGTCTCAGTGGAATTTGGACAAATCGAGCTCATTCTGATGAAGGAAAACAAGTATGTGTACTTTCTGGTGACACCACACGTCTCATCCTATCTGGCAGAGTATGGCCTCTATAACATTGGAGAAGCAGCTAGACAAATGGTTTGCATCAATGCTGAACAGTGTTTGGACTTTTATCCACTAGCTGCATATAGTCTATGTGGAATGACAGTCTTGTCCCTTAAACACAGTGTTCTGGATCAGTAGCTTACTGATTTAGCCACTGAAGACTCAGTGTCTTCGACACAGTGGAGCCCACATCAAAACAAGAACCTTCAGATTACCATACAACAGCTGTGCCTCCTCAGCCTACACAAGCCCAGGTCAGCCAATACAATGTAGTTCCCATTGAACTACCATCCTAACCAGCTCTAATTACTGTCAAATGTTATGGTAGATAAGTGAGCTCACTTCATAACTAGCCAAATCTGGGCTCAAGCTGTGTTTATCTTTCTTTGTAGTCATGGATGACCTGGTCAATTTCATAACGGCAGTGCTTCCAGGCTCTGGACTGCAACCTATAGTGGATGTACTTGACAACCTTGGCGTGACTACTGTGGAAGATCTAAACTTTGTGGAAGTAGATGACCTTGGAGGTATCCTGAAGAAAGTTGAATGCAAAAAGCTTCTTGCTCGTGCCAGAAGTAAGTAAAACATTGACTGTTACTTTTTGTGCATGACTTTTATTTATATTTATGTCAAACTGATGTGTTATACTTTTGTTTAGGTTAACTTACAACATCAGTTCAGAAATGGCAGGATGTTCGTCTGTGGCCAGTACCTCTTACACAGGCTCGCCTGCAAGCTCTGTCTCCATTCCTGTCAGTCCAAGCCCTTTTTCTTCTGGTAGAAGTAAGTATAACAATTGTATTAACACATTTTCCTTTTCAAAATAATGACAATACTTGAGAGGTCTGTTGCGACCAGAGTGGAGGTTCCCTGTGCTGATTGCGTAATTAGATGCTGCCTTAATGAAGTAGCCATGGAATGAGTTCAAGTAGGAGGGTTCTAATGTATGTCTTAAATACGTAAGGGATAACATATGGCCAGAAAAAGAAGAGCCCAACAGTGCGTTCGGAACCCCGAGGCTACTGTTTAGAACGTTCAGCAACTTTAAACAACTTCCAACTGTCTCCCATAGACATATAATGTGTTGCCCTTGGCATCGTTGATTATTTCTCCCTGCCGGTGAATTATCAGAGGTTAGGTGTAACTGATTTTAAATAATCATAATTTAACAGTTTCATATTGTGGGCTCATTCTTGCTGTCTTCATTGTTAACATCCAACGATGGTCACACTGAGCAGTGTACTGGCAGAGGTGGTGCTCAGTGCAAGCACCCAACAATATGAGATACTCCTCTGTGCCTGTTTTGACTACATGCAAAAATTAATGTTATTCCTGCAATTTAGGACCCTCTACAGACACTCAGAGCAGCGGTACTGAGAGATATGATGGACGGTTGGACGACTCCTGCCTAGGCTCACCTGCAAGCTCCTTGGGTACATTTACCATGTATACTTTTAAAGTTTAGGGGATGTTGAAGGTTTTGTTTAATTAGTAAATGGACATGCCAAGTGCTGTGGAGAGGGAGGGACTGGCAGACAGAGCAATCCGCCCCGTCCCAAAACTACTCTTGCTGTTAAAGAAGTGCTACAGTCATTTATTTTTGGCAGAACTTTCAATTTGTCATTATATCCCGATAGTAATCGATTGTAGATCAATAAGATAACACGTTTGACAGAGAAATGCACAACCTGTGTAATCTGTGGAAGAGGCAGGAGCGAAAAGTTAATCAAATACAAACGCACTAACAGGTCAAATGATTGGAACGGCCTAACTGTCTTGTCAAACTGCCCAGTCAACGTTCCAGCACACGCACTGTTCTTATGCATGTACGGGGGCGTGGCTTTGGAGGAATTCCTGATTGAGGAGGACGTTGTTTAATTGATTTAGGGATTTGAACCTGAACCACATATGTTTTACTGTATGCAGCCAAACATTGGGCTTTGCCAAAACCTTTTACATAAGACTATGGGTTAGGAAAATATAAAGCTATGGGCATCAATCTGTAGATATTGTTTTGTATTTGAGGCTGCAGACATCTCTGATTGCTCTGTCCCCACCTCGCAGTAGTCTCCATCAGAATACTCTTATGTAATTGACTTCTAGACGTTATCGAAGAAAATATAAATCAAATCTTAGTAATTATAGCAATGTTGAACAGTTGTCATTTGAAACACAAGAGTAGCCTGGGTCCAGGCTTGTGAATCCTCCCACTAAAGGTTTGGTGATTCTTGGTCTGGTGTTGCTATGTGAAACAGCTGGTTCTCCGATTAAAATATATTGGACAAATGAGCGCTGCAGGTTCTAACTATTAGCCAATGACTGCCAAGGGTGGGACTAACGCTGTTGTGGAGCTGTGCGTTCGGACAATGCAACTTCAGAGGCGTCGTAGCGAGAGCTTATAGTAACTCAAGATTACTTGAGGAGGACGACTGATAGTTGGTAGTAGGTCACAAAGTAGTCTACTCCCGTTCGTACAGTGGCCTATTATGATAATTACATTACTGTTTCATTATGTTGTCATGGCTATGCATCAGCAATGACGTTATAATCAGGGCTGCACATAACTGGTGCACAGGTCCGCCAAAAAAGGAGCAAAGGATCATTTGAAAAAAGGCGCATTTGCGCATGGGCAGGTCACCCAGGTATATTAAAGGCCGCCAAAGTATAATTCGCGAGCCATTTAGGTTTCATTTTTTTAATCTGTCCGCGATCTGCGATCCCTCAAGCAACATCTCCAGGTGCTCCTTTGAGAACCAGGGCAAAAAAGTTATGTGCACCCCTGGTTATAATCTTCCTCTCCCATGGAAATCGGTTAGAGTGGAAGCAATGTCAGATTTAGGTTCTCAACAGAGTGTAACGAGTTGACAATTCTGTCTAATATCAGGCTACCTCAAGAGGTCATTTTGTCCCAATACTTACACTGCCGGGAAATTGATAGACTTGTCATACTGAATGGCACTATTCTAAAATTGTTCAATGTATTCTGGTCTTTGACCTCATAGTTAATTTCATTTGAAATACAAAATATATTAGCTCAGAGACAAAACAACCAATTTCATATATCTGTGCTAATTATGGCTCATTGTATTACAGATCTGCATGGTGGAACTGAAATGGCCTCCACCAGTGAATGCTCCATTAGCGGTGGGAAGGGAACAGCAGCACTGGACTATAACTGGCACTACAGCTTCAACATACCGTGGAACCTCATGCCTTCGCATATAAAGAAGATACTGGAGAAGAAAGAACGGCCAACTGCGAGGGATAGAAGAGAGATCATTAGGTTGATATCTGCAGAAATTGTGTCTTTCTGCAAAAATCCTCAAAAGAAGCACTTGAGTGAAGTTGCCTGCAAGATGGTAGTGGACTATCCCAAGTCCTTCAAGGATGAGATTGAGAATCAAGTAGTAGGTAGTGGCTACGATTCCATAACGAAACAACTACAATGCAGAGTGGACAACTACAAAAGGTTGGAGCTACCAACAATGACTCATTCCAGCAGTGCTGACAAGGGAAAGAAGAGACGGAGGAAGGATGCGTATGGATGTGTTGTTAACCCTGAACCTCAACTGTCTGCAAATTGTGAAGCACAGAAGAACATGAAAGGGGAACTACACAAGATGTTTGAGGGAAATGAGAAAGGCGAGAAGAAAATAGAGGCATTGATGATGAACACGTTTGCCTCCCAGAAAAGAGATGTTCAAAATGAAAAAGACACACAGACCTTGAAAGAAGAATGGCCCTATCTTTTCACCACAACAGGATTGAAGACTCATTTCAAGGAACTAACAGGTGTCCACATAAATCATGAATTCCAAGAGGACATGAAGAGCAAATACAAAAGAGTCCTGGGATATTTGAAGTCTCAGCGCCCGGCGAGAGAAAGTCGTGCAGCAAAACTCCTAACCATCAAATCCAGGAAATCCAGGTGAAGACTCCTGTGGGGCTTTGTTTGCTGCTTTTAGCCCACTTCAAAGAAGATCAGCACAAGATGCTCATAAATGTCGACGATACCTGTGTTGCAACAGATGTGGACTTGCAGCATCTTCCCACAACCCCATGCATATTGCTGTGTGGTAAGTGAAAGTATAGTAACCATGTCATGTGCAAGTTAAACATATACATTTATTTATTTTTCTGAGAAATTCTATTTTTGAATTCCAGAAAGAATAGATTAAAGGAACAGTTTTATAAATTGTGTCATTTTCTGATAAATTGTCATTGGCTATCTACTCTTTTTTATTTTAGATAATTAACTCAAATTAATTTACTTGAACAATTTATTTTATTTGATCTTCAAAAATCGTTTTCATTTGACTCGGGCCAATACAGGTCTCTTTTTCGCTCTTGTCTCACTTTGTCTGTCTGTGTGTTACCTTCACAGGAGAAAGCCCAATGACTGCCTCTGCCTTCATGGTAGCAGTGGACCAGGTGGTGGTTAACGACAGAATCTTCACATTCACAGAGGCAGTTAATGACATGTTCATGATCTACTATGTCCTCAACATCGACTACCCTGTAGAGCTTGGAGCAACAATGGAGTTAATTCAAAGGTAATTGTATATTTTGTAATCTTTAATTTTTTTTTCCATTTACCAGTATAATGAACTTTTAATCATAAAGTCCTTGTAGTGGAGCGGTCAAATATCGTTTACCATATTTTCCGGACTATAAGTCGCACAGGTTCTGATTGCCTATTGCAAGCAAAGCAGAAAATTCCAAGACACTGTTCTGCACTAGGATCTTCTAGAGCAGGGGTGGGGAACCTTTTTCCTCTCAAGGGCCATTTCAATGTTTTCAACATCCTCCGAGGGCCGTACAAATTATTGACCTAGCTTAAAAATACTAAAATCACAGCCCACTCATTTCACCTTTCTTTCATGCTGTGCAAAGAAAAAGCAACCTCTTAATCCAGATATCTTCATGACTCACGCATGCACGTGCACGGCTGTGGCATGACCACCAAAACAGAGAGATATGGACACAAGATGTGTGCAAGTGTATTTAGACTCCTATCCATGTGAACATGATTTAAGTGGAGGGGGGGGGGACCTAACCTCCTCTAGGGGGGTCCGGGGGGCATGCTCCCCCAGGAAGATTTGTTTTTTTAAATGTTGAAGTTAAAAGCATCAATCTGGTGCACTTTGAGAGCAACATTAGGAGATCTATGGATACATCTCTCAACACCCAGATGAAACAGAACTGTAAGCAGATTTTCTTTTTCTTTATGGGTATTTTACAAATCACTCTCCTTTCAAACTGTATTCTTGTTTATTAATAACAACTTTTTTTACTGTCATATAGTATTTTATACCTGTTTACTTTATTCTCTTGTTGTTTGATAACTATAATGATCATATAAAGATGTGCCTTTACCTCACTGGTTGTAGAAAAAGCTTCTTATATTCGTTAGCATAGCTAGCTAACCAGATGCTAATAACAACAACGTTATTGACTGTATGATCAGTATGACAGATCACCACTGGGGTTACAACTAAGACACAGCCACGCAAAAACTACAGCATGTGTACGGCTCCTTATGGGTACTGCAATTTTTGGAAGTGCCGGAGCAGAGCTGCGTTCTGGTGCTCCCCGTCAGAACTACACCCCTGTCAGACGAGACATATACCACGTGATGACACGTTAGGCTTGTGTTGTGTTCAAGGACCCTGACCTTGGCCAGGAAAAACAGGCACTCACATGTTTAATTATTTTGCGGTCTAGATTTCTTTAATTTTTTTCTTTCTTGCGTGTGTTTATAAATTAACCTCGAGGGCCACACCAAATGGTCTTGCGGGCCGTATACGGCCCGGGGGCCGGAGGTTCCCCACCCCTGTTCTAGAGGAACAAAAGCCCATGCTTTCAAACATTAATTGAGAGCAGCACACATTAGGTTACAGCAGCATCACGGTATACAGCCAAGGCCTATCAATGTGAGAATGAACACAATTGTGTAAATGTACACCATTTGACAACGATGTCAAACCTTTATGTACCACTCCTCTACCAACAGATGCATTTTCAGGATCAATCCGGACAAGGGCTCAAAATTACAGAAACAAGGCAATAAGAAGCGTCTCGCAGTCAATCCCAGGGTTCTGTCACTCTTATCGAAGATATCGGAGCACGGGATCACAGATGTCTAACTGGTGAGTTTGTTGTTCATTCATTTGATTCCTTGTGATTGGTTTTGTGTCCCCCTTTATCAGAAACCAAAAAGGACATATTGTAGCTTTACATGTTGGGGGGGGGGGGGTGTTTGGAAAAGGTGGGCACTTTCAAAACTACTCGGCAGGTGATTAAAGACTGTCTATCATCGCCTATTCGGGTAAATTAAATTCTTACCATGTGAAGTCGGGAGAAGAGCAAAAACATAGTTTTCATGGGAAAAAAATCCTTCAGTGTCGTTCTTTGCACTTATTTCAATGAAGAAATACCCTTCTCGCTGTCATCACACCTACTGTATACCACACTGATTGGCAGTTCATTTTCTGGTGGATTCTAAACATTTCTCTATGGAGCTTTGCCAGACTGATGTGAAACAACGTGAGCTTGTGAGATCAGGATGTTTATGATGTTTGGTGAAAGTCACCAAACATCATAAACATTAATCCAAAGAATGTCAAAGTCTCCTTCTGAAGAATTGGACATTACTCTGATCCAAATTCTTATATATTTCTCCATGAGGTTAAATTAAGGTGTCAAACTTTAGCATTTATGTTTGTGTGTATTACAGAGAATCCAGAGACCGCAGGATAAAGGAAGTGAAACCATACCTCAGGACTGGAAGACTGAAGACACTGTTTTATTTTTATTGTATAGTTTTCTACCTGTTGTTTTACTGTTGGCTGGTTCAAATTGAGTTTGGGTTTAAGAATCCTTGTTGAAGTTACGTGTGTGCAGCCGTTTGTGCCCCCTTTGCCGTGTGTTTTTGCTATAAGTATAAATAAATATACTTTCAAAAGGTTTCAGTATTGTATTTTCTATAGAATGTTTTTGTACACCCTACACCTTTAATAGCATACTATGAAAACTACTTTATTTAAACAAAATCATTTGTGGGTATTTCTGCAAATATATTACAAAATCATTTGTGGGTATTTCTGCAATATATTACATTTTTTGTGAAGATTTATACATTTAACATTTAGAGATGTTTTATAATAAGATTTATTTTTATTCTACAACAGTACAGAATACAGTTTTTTTTGTTGTTTTTTTACATTTATTACATTACATTTAAGGTTTTAACTGCAAAAAAAAAAGAAAGTTGCCTTCATTTTACATGCAGTAAAATGATGTGTATTGTATGTGTTTTACATAGAATTCAATGTCATTTAACATTCAAAGACAATTAAACAATGGAATTATCCTGTAAAAAAACGATAATTTCTCATTAAACCAATTTACAGAATAAAACCTTTATTTATTTTTAATAAAAGTATTTACTGTATTTTTTAGGGTATTTACACTTAATATAGAAAAACAAGAAAGGTCTGTAAAATAATACAGTACATTTCTGTGAAAAAACATTTTTTTTTACTGTGTAGACTTACTGACGTTAAGGTGATCCACATATGAACTTGTATTGTTTTATTTAAAGTATAGGGACAATCATGTATAGGGACAAAACCATAGAGGACAAAACAACCTCCTGACCTCGTCCAGTTCAATCTGGTTACCATTAACTTTGGATGTGGTGACGTTGGAACTGTGCAAAAGTCAAAACCCACACATCAAGTCATCCAAAAACTCGTTACTGATCAAGAGCCAAAAGATAGTTTGATGAAAATGACTTAATGAGCCAAACTTAAAAGAAAATATAAATAATTTAGGATAAGAATATAAACATTTTCTGCCATGACTCCTGGGTGGTCAACAGTTCAACACGGCGGCTTTAAACTATCACAGGTCACAGTCACACGTGTAGTTTGGGTCATTTGTTCCACACCAAATAAAAAAGAAATTCATTCTTGCATCATAAACTTTCTCGATATCTTGTGTTTGGCTCCCCAAAATCGAACCACACTAATGTTGATTGGAAGCAAACCAAGACCCTCCATTTTTAGGCGGTCTCTGTTCAGTTGTTTGAGCTGTTGTGTCTGTGAATTGATCAAAACTTGGCAGGAATACAACAGTGACACAACAAAGCCAAACTCAGCAAGCGTCCCCAGGTTAAGGAACACATTCACAAAGTAAACATGTGCACTTCAGATATAAAATATCTGTCTCTATAGCTACATCACCTACTCACTGCAGAGAAAGGTCTGCCAGCCTCAATGTGGTAGGTATGATAAACCCTATACACTTCACTAACTAAGAGATCTAATTATTTCTCACTAATTCTCTATCACACACTGCCAGACTCCTAAATCGTTCAGTATCCTGCAGAGCATATGAATTGATGAACAAACCTTTTTCAATTTCAGGGATTTATAAGTTGTAAATGTGTCTGTTATTAAAGGTACATTTAATGTTTTATATAAATATAGGTTATTAGCCATTGAAACAACTATTGAGTTGCCAGGTAAATTGAAAATACTTGTTTTTTGTAATCAATCAATGACTTAAGCTTAAACTTAAACATGTATGATTGACGTGCTCACTTTTCATGATGGCTACTAGAAAGTTAGACAATACACATTACTTTTTTAACATGTTTAAGAGAGTTTAAGGTTTATTAACTTTTATTATAACTCAATGGTCTTAGCCAGGGCCGGTCCTTAGCATTGGCGTTATAGATATTCGCCTAGGGCGCCAGATCTGGGGAGGCGCTGCGCTGGCAGCTCTGGGAGGGGGAAAAAACGTTTTTGACCGTTGGTGCTCATCCTAATTTTCGGCCTTGATGTAACAACATTCATAATTAAGTAAAGGTAACACACTTTTCATTTTCCTTGTACGATGGGTGCTGTAAGTGATGAAAGTGGGGGAT